CCAACAGAGAAACAGGAAATGGCAGAACCAGTAATTACTCAAACACAAGATATGCCTGCAGAGAAACAGGAAATGGCTGAACCAGTAATTACTCAGACACAAGATATGCCAACAGAGAAACAGGAAATGGCTGAACCAGTAATTACTCAAACACAAGGTACACCAACAGAGAAACAGGATGTGGCTGAACCAGTAATTACTCAAACACAAGTAATACCGACAGAAAAAGTAGAAATGACAGAACGAAGAGTTACTGAAACATCTGGAATACAAATAGAGAAACAAAAAATTGCAGAACCAGTATTTATTCAATCACAAGGTAGAACAGAGAAACAAATAATGGTTGAAACAATGACATCCATGAAGACAGAAAGTTCAACAGAAGGTATAGAATTGTCAGGAAATGGTAGCGAATATTCTGAGGAAACAACAAGGTATGTAGCAACTGTAGCTAATAATAAAGAATATAAAACTAAGAGGATGTTTCCAGAAAGGAGTAACAATTCTGAAGTAAATCAAATTATTAATGAAGATACTTATTTGGCTTTAAAAAATAGCATGGACAGTATCTCATATTTTATAAGTAGACTGTTAAGATTTGATACTTCAAAATTTAATAAGAGATCAGTAGTTTCAAATACATATAATGCCACAAGGAATAAAATTATACCTTTAAAATCAAAATTTAATAGGACATCACTGCTTTCAAGTACATATAGTACAATGCTCAATAAGATTATGCCTTTAAAACCAAAGAAGCAAAGAAACTAATAACTAGTCTAAAAATTTTTTTGACTAAAACAGAGAAACAAGAAATGGCTGAACCAGTAATTACTCAAACACAAGGTATGCCAACAGAGAAACAGGAAATGGCTGAACCAGTAATTACTCAAACACAAGGTATGCCAACAGAGAAACAGGAAATGGCTGAACCAGTAATTACTCAAGCATTTGGTTTTAACCATATTTCATTGTTGAGAGTTGTTGTTAATTGGAAGTGGATATTTTTCGTCGACTGACTGTTCCTAATTATGTATAAAGTAAATAAATAAATAAATAAACTTACAAGTTAAACATTTACCACACGTTATTTGAATAGAGCTTACAAATTCAAAAATCAAAACTGGTCTCATAAGGATATTAATCTAATCTAGTTTAAAAAATGCAGACATTTATTCCATTTAGCCATTTCAAACATTAATCCTAATTTTCTCGCAGAACACGACAGTGTCTGAACATCAATTAATTTAATTTAAGTGCCAGCTGCTTCTTTATAAGGATGTTTATTATTATTAATTTGCTTCGTAAATTAAATTCTTTTCTTTCGTCTTATTCTTCATTAAATTTTTATTACTTATAGTTATTTAAGATATATAACAATTATTGTTTATATAAAGAAGTATTATGTGCATTGCGATACAGAGAAGGCAAGCGTGTCTGGTAATTTATGTAAAATAAATTTATTTTTTAGTATTGCAGGTAACCTAAGAAACTGCTTTATTGAATTTTGCCAATTAAGATGCCAAATCAAGCAATGGATCGTCTTTGAATACGCTTTAAAAAATATGTTACCAGCTATCAGGAGTTTCTCCGATAATAGTTATCAAAGAACATTAAATGGTACAGAAAGAATTTAATTTATAATTATAAATTTACTTAAGGTGCTATTAATTGGCGCTTTATCCCGTAATAAATTGTTTTACTTTTTTCCTCTTTACCCAGATAATCGTCGCTACGAACTGCAGAGATGTCTGAATCAAATTAATTATTCCAATATACAACCATGCTTGCCCCCTCTTTACAGTTATATTTCTCAAAATACGTATAGTAAAGATACAAGTTCAATGTAAGTATTATTTTTAAAACGAATTGAAAAATTCATATCTAAAGTCCGTAGTTCACTTTCGAATAAAAATGATTAATTTTCTCTAATCTCGTTATTTTAGTTAAAAAGATCATCAAAGGAAATATATTCTTTAAAATATTAATTTTAATTTATTATGAATTTACCTTTATAATTTCTGGAAAGTAAAAAATTGGATAAAGAATAGTAATATAGAAATTGTATGAGTAAAGAGATAGGCACGAGAGACTATTAGACGCAATATAAATATTTTTAGCCTAAAAAGAAACCGAATACAGTTTTCCTGTCAATTACAATTGTATATACAGTAGACCCCCTATAACGCGAAGATACGTTCCCCGTTATACGAATTTCGCGTTGTTGGAATTCTTGGGCTGTGATTGGCTCACGTATTTGACACGTGTGAAGTTTACGGACTATGGCTGTTTGAAAGGTTTTCTTCCATAAAATTAATCGATTCTAGACTAATTCGACTTAACATTTCCAAAATACATATATTTGTTTTTTGGAAATAATCCGTATAAACTGCGCTATAAACAAACAATTGTAGGATTACTTACCGAGTGTGCACCATTCGACATCGCCGTTGCTCAAGCTTGTTTTCGTCGCGGAACAGCTCAGCAAACCGCGGCCGCGATTTCTGATGTTATTTTTCTACGAAAACTTCGCTGAACTTTGGAGATATCATTAATATAAATAATTTTTATCGCCGTTGAATAAGAAATGTTACTTTCACAAGAAATGTATAAAATTACAGTACTGTATTAGACTTACGG